CCTCCCTTCCTTCCTTCCTCCCCTTCCTCCTCTTCCTCCCCCTCCTCCCTTCCTCCCCGTCCTTCCTTCCTTCCTTCCTTCTTCCTCCTGGCTCCCTCTAGTCAAATACTTCAGGGAAGTGTCATGGAGAATTTGGACTCAGAGTCTCTTGAACCTTGGCTAAGTTACCAAGGGAGGGAGTGGAACCAGTATTGTGGGCCACATGGTGGGAAAATGAAGCACTGTAAGGATAGGGTTTTTATTCAAAGCTCTGCCTTCCGCCAGCGCTCCCTGGCTGTGTACAATACTTACTGTTTTTTAAAAGTCTGCTGCACTTTTCTCAGAGGCCACCAGAGGGCGCACAGAGCCCAGCTTCCCTAATAACAGGGTTCACAGATAGGACCTGCAGGACATCTGGGGGAACTCAGAGAGCTGTGGGCAGGAGAGGGTAGGATGGAAAGGAAGTGAGGAGGCCCACGGAGAGCTCGGGTCAAGCTGCTAGGGTTCCAGACTGTCTGAGACCTCTGGGCTGACCCAGATTTAGGGCTGGGATGCCTGCCTCTGTCTCTACTGCCAGGTTCCGTGGCGGGGGGCGGGGGGGGGGGTAGTGGTGGTGGTGATATGGGGTGTGTGATGCTGGATATCTTCCTCCATGATGCTAGAGAGGGAAACAGAGGCAGTGGCAGAGACTGACACCACCCCAAGCAGGTTAAAAGGAATTCAGTGGAAGTAGCATGATACAGTGCAAAAAGCCTAGTTTGCTAGCTTGACCTGGGTCAAGTCAGTTAACCTCTTTGAGCCTCAGTTTCCCCAGAATGAAATGAGGTTCCTGATAGCACATTGTGAGAGTGCTTGCAGTCGTTAAACTGGCACTCACATGTTAGCATCCATCTTCTGTGACCAGTAGAGACTGGGAACTCCAGCAAGAGTCTGGGAACTGCCTTCTATGAAAGGTGAGAGTGATGGCCCAGGAGGCACCATTTTAACAATTATCCTGGTCCTCTTTAAGCTCAGAGATGGCTCTGCCCTTTTGCACTGCTGCCCGGGAGGGGGGCTGGAAGCAGAGCTCAGAAATGCCCCATCACCTCAACCCCCCCTTGCTCACCCAGCTGCTCAGCCCCAGGCACAGTCTGAGCCATCGAGGTCCCCCGCTGGCTGAGTGGTGGGGGAATGTGGAACTGGGGAGATGGGGGAAGAGCACAGAGGCACTCCAGATGTGTGCATGACCACATCAGGAACAGTTGGAACACAGGCAGATGGGTGGGGAGGCCGGCAGGAAGGCCCAGGATCAGCCTGAGGCCGAGGGCTCAGGAAGCATTTCCGCTTCCTTTCAATGACCTAACATACAGGAGTTTGGGAGACTGGAGCCGCCCTTACCTTGCTGAGGGGCCATGGTCCCTGAGGCCTGGACAATAGGACAAAGAGCTCCCTTATCAGTCTGGGGCTCCTTCCGTCTCTTCCTCACGAAGATAACCTTCTCTGGCAGGGCATCAGGACTGAGGCTGGGCTGGGCTCGGCTGGGGCAGTGAGGGTCCCACATGTTCTCACCCTGGCGCCTCCCTAGCCCTCCCTTCCCTGCAACCTCCTACAGAGCCACCACAGCTGGAACCATTCTCCGCGCTGCCTTTCATCCCTGGTGCTCCCCCCCAACCAGTGGCCCCTGTAATTGTGGTCTCAGGCGGTGGCTGCAGGGGCTGGGGCCAGAGCCCAGGGCGGGGCCAGGGCAGGGCCTGGGGGCTGCTGATAGGGGCTTGCCCATGGCATGTGTCCTCTGGCGCTGGGGATCCTGCTGTAGACACTCTGGGCTTCATCTTCACACATGCCAAGGCCGTGTGCCTACCTGTGCCCTCACCTCCCTGGGCTGAGGTGAAGCACTCCAGACGGGCACTCCCGGACCCTCAAGACATCAGGCCTGTACCATGCCTGAGTGCAAGCAAGGCTTGGGTATTGTTTACTTCCTGGAGTTTTCAAAGAAAGGGTCTTCTCCCTCTCCCTTACACTTCTGTATTTCATGAACAGCGGAGGGTAGGGGAGC